AGTGTGGTGATGAAACAGGTGATTGTTGAAATACCGTTACTTTCAATTCTACTGTCAGATCTTGTGGTCTGAGTGGTGTTTCCACTATATAGTAAGAAAGAAAGTGCTGAAAGCAAAAGAAAAAATCTTGGACTTTCCATTGATTTACTTTTCATTTGAAAAATAGGAGATAACTCCGTTGATCGTCGGTGTATCATTTTTTGATCCTTGACTATATTGTAACACCTAACAGTGCCACGGTGTTTTGAGCAGTAGTTAAATCTGATTTGTACCCAATTCCATCCGAACCCCACTCTTCCGGTTTCTAGTAGAAAAATTCCGTGTTGTCGACAGCAAAGAATCCAGAACGGCTATAATCCAGACAGTATCTATCGTCTTGACAATACTAGAAGAGGTTATCTGTTCCCATGATTACTTTGATGCTGTTCAGTCAGTTCAAATGAGTTTTAAATTAAAACTAAAACTATAGTGCAAGTCATCACTAGAAATAGGTATTTATAAGGGAAACATCTTTTGGTCGAAAGCCCCGAGCTATTGGAAAAGTTTTCATGCTGGTCTCTATCATTCTTTTTCCAACTTTATTTGTCTCACTCCTGGCACAGACATTTGACTCTTCACAGGTTGGATGTGATTGTTTAGACTCCGTATTCTCGGTTATTGATATCCCTTCAAATGCAGAACACACGGATTGAGAAAAATTACACCGAAAGAAAATCTCTTGCAGCAGCAGCGCTGTCAAAACTAGTGGATCAATACAATACAGGGAAGCAGAACTTCAATGATGGTGAGCTAGTGCTAGTATTGACAAGGCATGATATCATTTTCTGTAACTCCTGTAACTCTAGATGTTGTTGCACATGTGACCACCCTGCAAGGGGTTTTACTTTATCAAATGGCAAGGTTTGACTTCCTCACAAACCAAACCCGATACAAAGACAAATTTGAAGAGGTGTTTAATACCGTAAATCAAACAAATCTCTCAAAGTAAGCATCAAATTTTATTTGCTATCATGAGTTTAGGGACTATTTCGAAAATTTAGAGTATGTGAATTGGAAGAATAATACCTAAAACTTTGGATCTTGATTACTCTCATTTCAGCTGCAGGACAGATTGTAGGTTTTTCATCGTCCTGCACATAATAATAATTTAGTGCTGCAGTACATATGGCTATTCAGCTATCCAGGCATATTATGCCTATCATGATAAAAATTACCTCACTCACGCAGAAGATTCTTGGTCATTTGGGTTACAATATAATCTTCCTCGAGCTCAGACTATAGTACCCACAAATTCCAGTTATCATACTGAATGCAATGGAAGTAAGCTGACCTCTCTGATATTGAAAGCTGCATCTGGGCTGATTCTTGCATAGCTACAATGACCGGTGGTTTGTTCGATGTACGAAATCTATCCCAATTACTAAGCAAATTTATCGAGGTTCCCATTTTTTTTCTTTCCAGAGTGCCTCGGACAATAATTTCTATATCAGTACTTCTGCAACTGGGTGATTCTGTCTGTCCTTATGACTTTACTATTGATAACTGAACTATCATTAGGTCTTTCTTAGTGTATAATTCTGCTTTCCTTGTTACAGCCTTGACCTAAATTATTTTTCTCTGCAGATTATCTTCATTGTTGGCACAAGCCACTTCAGATTCTAAATACCTTGATGCATCCTTGGAATCAGCGATCTTTGTCCACAACCATCTGACAAATAGCGAAAATCTAATTATGGACGGAATCTTTGCTGATTCCTGCAGTCTAGGCCCTAACAATAAAGGGGCTCACTTATCGGTCTTTAATTCAGGGCTAATAATAGAGGGTCTTGCCATTCTCAACTCAATGCTACATAATTCCAGTATGCAAGAATGGTAGGCTTTCTTTTGTTGTATGTTATTCATGAAATGTAAACTCCGAACTTGCTTGATCTCAGGATGGAAAACACCGTCTCACAGGCAATAAACGGATCTCCTTGGAACGAAAATGGCATAATCAAGGGAACTTCACGTACTATTCACCGTAATCTGAGATGATCTGTTAACTGATCGTCTGCCTAGATTTCAATATCGTCGCTGGATTGGTTGCTGCATTCAAGTATGCAATGGCTTCTCAGTCAAATATGACAAACTTGATTAATGAATATCTCGCAGTGCAAGTAAGTCTGAAATTCAATGATTCGGCATAATCTCATTTCTCGTAGTATAATGCTGTTCTCCTCAATGCAGCTAGCTCAGATAAGCCCGATATCTATCAAGTGGATTGGACTTCACCGCAATCTGGTGACTTTGAGCCAAATGGGCAAACTTCTGCACTCACTATTCTTATCAATGCAATGTCCCTAAATTCAACTGATGAAGGATCTACAATATCTCCCGAGTCAAACAAGGGGAAAGAAATCAATATTGGACTTATCGTTGGATGTGTAATAGGGCTATTTGCCTTGACTGTAGTAATACTGTTGGCTTTCTTGTATTACCGCAAGAGGCAAAAGCAATATCGCCAGTCGCTACCTCCGGTATTTCCGATTCCAAGAAGTTTTCCAAGGCTAGAGAAAAGTGGATTCCAAAAATCTGATATGACTCATAGCTCGGACATTGTTTACCAAGCATCTCTGCAGGCAGAAACAGGCCAGGTTGGAAATTCACGAGATGAAGGAGGGAGAAGGGAGTCTCTACCAACAGAGGAACTGGTCAGGATATTGGCTAGAAGACTACAAGCTGTAGGACCTGAAGCCGAAGATACTCCGCCTAGTTACCGTGTCAATTGAATTACAGTATTTACAGTATCTAAAGATCTTCAGACTACCCATTAATATCAGCAGCAATATGGCTCGGAAACCCAAGTCGGACTTGACGATTTTTTGAGAAACCTGCACGAAATTAGTGCAAGCAATCGTGAAATTATTGTTTGCACAAGTGAATCCATGTTTTTGAAGCTTTTCGTGCAAGTAAAGACTTATAATTTCCGAAACATTGAGCGCAACATATTGCCGAAATAAAGTTTGACCATGACTCCGAAATGTGAACAACGAAGCGACTACTCAAACCACTGAGCGTCTGCTTTAGGTCTAAGAATGAACTAAATCTCAACTCAGTTTGTCGTATTATCTCTATTACGAAAAACTGAACTCCGGAAGCATACAATCGCAAGTCACAGCGAGAGTTAAGATATGTACATCCAAAAAGTTTCGATTAATTAAATACGAGTACTAGGCTTGTCCAGCAATAATGGGTGCTCCCTTCACAGCTGGTACTACCGACGACGGTGCCCTGCTACTCCGTTTCCGAGGTGCTCTGTCTCCTTTACTCACACTGTCTCTGTCAACTTTGTCTTTGTCTCTGCTTCTGTGCGCATGCGGTCGAGAAGATGAATGGCTGGATGATTTGGTTTCATCGGGGTAGCGGGGAGTTCGTCGTGGGGTATGGTGCTCTCCGTCATCTTGGTCGCGACGTTGTTTGTGGGAAGAGCGAGACTGGGGTTTTCGGTAATAGTGGTCTTGGCGAGAATGTTTCACTTCTTCCTCCTCTTCCTCTGATGAGTACGTGGAATGACTAGACGAGTGTTTGGATTTGGAACTGGGTTTAGTTTTGGTTTCATCGGGATAACGAGGTGTTTTCCTGTCGGTTCGTCGTGGACTGCGGTACTCTCTGTCATCATCGACGTCGTCGCGGTGCTTCTTTGAGGGCGGGCGAGAATGAGATTTGGAATGGGGTTCGTCTCGACGAGAAGGTTTCGCTTTGGGTTTCACCTCTTCCTCTTCCTCAATGTCGTCGAAGTCCTCAAAGCTCCTCGGGACTGGAATGTCCTCGTCCTCGTCCTCGTATTCATAGTCCCTATGTCTCGACCGATACCTTGATTTTCCACTACGCCGAGTCGACTCATCGTATGGTGGTGGAGGCTCGTCATACTCATCGTCGTAGTACCGGTCATTTCGAGCTCGAGTCCTTCCTCCATATCCTTGGCGTCTGCCTCCACCTCCACCTCCACCTCCTCTTCCTCTACCACCTTCACCGCGGCCTCTACTTTGCCCTCTTCCACCACCTCGATTGCCTCCAGCACCACGATTGTTTCCTTGTCCAGCGGCTCCACCAGCACCTCCTCCCCTTCCCTGTCCCGGTCCTGCACCCGCATCGTCGTATCCCGGTCCTCCAGAGACAGGAAATGCGTCTCTTCCTCCTCCTCCACCGCCGGCAGGTGGAGCACCTCCTTCAGGAGGCGGTGCCTTCTTGTTCTGCGTCGTAGCCTGCGTATATGCAAGTCCAGTGACGGTGCCTGCAATTGAGACGGCTGATATAGATTCTGCTACGCCCATTATGTGTATGCGGGTGTTGGTTAGCTAGTTTCGTCGTTTGGTTTGGTATGCGAGGTGAGTCCTACGTTTAGGTCGGGACGAAAGCAGAAAGGTTTATTGATTAACCCAGAGCGTACCTTTTATCAACCAGAATAAGTACAACGCATCCTCGTCGTCATACTCCTCGATGCATCGTCATACCTTCCTTTTTCTCTCGAGCTCAATATATCAACTTTGATGGACCAATCATCGTGCATCTTACTCGGTTTCCAGGGCGCGTTCACGGTCGACGTCATACTTCCTCTTCAGTATCCTTTCCTTCAACCTGCTCGTATATCTAGTGCCTTCGACGCTCACTAAAGGACTGTACGATCCCATAAACATCCAACGGCCAATGTCTGCCCGCCTAGCTCAATCGGATAGAGCGTCAGACTCTTATCTCTGGAGTTTATGGAAATCTGAAGGCTGCGAGTTCGACCCTCGCGGTGGGCTATGAAGTCCTTCACTTAATTGTTTTGTTCTCCGCCTCGTTTTCTTACCTCTTCATTAAGAGTTTGCACATCAGGTTTCTCCGCTTTTGGATGGGAACATGTGTGCGTTACTTTTTTTCAAGTGAAACTTTGAATAGTATCGCTCATCTATTCCTTCTCTTCTGCACCGTAAGACTCTGTCGCAGTGAGATGGTCTACGGTGTTCCAACTGCCTGTTGCCCGCCTAGCTCAATCGGATAGAGCGTCAGACTCTTATACCCTTAGAGCCCTGTAGTGATCTGAAGGCGACCCTCGCGGTGGGCTATATGGGTCTTTTTGTATTCCTTTTTTCTTCTTGAGTGTCTACTTCTGCTTCTTTTTCAACTGCCTTTGAATTTTTAAAGACATTTCTTGATGGATCGTTTCATCTCTAGCTCTTTCGCCAAGTGCATTTATTCTCTTCAACTAGGATTCTTTGATCTGTATATCTGTTCCTGTGCGATCATGCATTCGCAATACTTCTGCTGTCGCCCGCCTGGCTCTACCGGATAGAGCGTCAGACTTTTATGACCGGTGGCGACTTCATATATCTGATGTCTGCGAGTTGGACCCTCTCTCGGTAGACTATCATATCTCTGGTAATGTGTTCTTTTTGATGTTGACCTTTGCTCGAACTCGATAGCGTCTACTCCATCTCCATTTTGTTTCGATATTTTGCCAGACTCCCATGCTCATGTTTAGAAATAACACTTGCAACGGGCCACACACCTCGAATCGGCTCTCTAGAGTTTCCGGGAATCGTACGTGTAAAAGTCAAAGTACTCGAGGTATTAAGTTGACCCCGTTACAATATCCCCAATTCTCAAGTTGCGCTAGCAACAGCACTCCCTTCAATCCCTCTCCCGTCCGTCGTGGTACTTGAACTCTACGATAGACGCTACGCAAAAAGACTTGCGACCACTACGCTTCTAATCTATCTACAGAGCCCGAAAAAGCACTTCGCGCATCAAAAGAAGACACCGGAACATAGTGTAATCTTGAGGAATGGATTTGGAAATACCGTGATGATGATGATCGAGCAACAATGTTCGCTACATTACTCAAAAACCGATTTACTGATGCATTTTGCAGAAAAAGTGTGGACGGGAATAGAGGCCAGCGTTTCTATATATGGTACAAGCGGAAGACTGACAAAACAGACGGGATGCGGTAGTAAATTTGTCGTACAAGTACTTAACCTGACGGAGAAGAGTGCTCCTGAAGCTTTTCTATCTCAATCCTCCAAGGAAGGTATTTTTGATAGTAACGTAGAACTCGTACTTCTCTCCAAGTTCCCATTTATGCCACTCCCAGTGACAACAACCTTTGCCGGAAACTCGGGCGTACTTGGCGGACATACGAGAAGAGAGAGGAGGTCTGGTCGAGAGCTATTTGAACCGTAAGGACTCCTTTCTAATCGGAATAGTCAACAAGAAACATACTAATGCCCAACAACATCTCCCGTCAACTTTCCAATTGCAACTTCATCTAGATTGATATCGGCATAAATGATGGTTTCTTGTCCTGGATCCGTAGGTTCAGTGAGTCGTACGCCTAGAGGGCTGTAGATTGCAGCAAAGCCTCCTCCATTCTAAGAAATCGTCGATGAACATCGATAAGCATATCCTACAGTCTCGAGACTTACTTTAGGTGCCCACGGTGTTCCTTCGATCCTACGCGTGCAAGTACGTCGTCAAGTTACTGGTACATGTGTTACCGGAATACTCACCTACAAATCCCCTCGTTCTCCTTCCTGATCAACTGCGTACTCTGAATAACAAACATCTGCCCCTCGATAGCTATTGCTCTAGACAGCGTATCTTGAACATCCGAAGAAAACTGCGGAGGAGCCCCTTCTGAGATCAAACCACAAAACGGCCAACTAGCAACGTGTATTTGGGGTCCAAGAGAAATGTGGTGGAATTTGAGGAGTGGATGGAGGTGTTCCCTGAGATAGCCAGGGTTGAATACGAGTACGTGTATCACAATGGCAAATAATTTACCAACAGTTCAGAGAGCCGATGACAGGACCATTTGGACCAGCGGAAACAGCACTTTTTAGTGAATCAGCTGAAATAATCTTGGAATGAGAAATGAGTCCGAAAAAATATTCGAAGTAAACGCACCAGGTGCATCTCCCCATATTGTTCGTTCCTGACCAGTAGCCTTGAGCTTGCGTCGATGCAGTAGAACACGGCCTTGAGGATCGATGATGCTCTGCGCCGCATACATACTCTGACCGTCTCGTTCAGTGAACGCTAGTACGACCCTGCCAGTGTATAGAACGATCCAATCAGTCTTTAACCCAAAATATTACACATGCATCTAACACTAGTTTAATTAGAACGCGGTACGTATAAAACTCACCAGATTGTCCCGATATCCCTAATAGCCTTCCTTATCTGCGCATACTCCTCACTCTGCACACTCAAACAGTTCTTTTGAAATTCTGCCAGAAATGCAGGATCAAACCCCTGCGTCCAGATGGCCAGTGGATATCCAGGGATAAACGATTCAGGAAAACCGATAAGCTGGGCACCATTTGAAGCGGCCTGTTGGATGAGAGAGATGACTTTGGATACACCTGCTCGGAGGTCGAACCACGCAGGTTCAGCCTGGATTGCAGCGACTTTGGTGATTACGTTGGTCATAGTTGGGATAAATAATTCTGAGGAATTAGGTTGCCCGAGATGATTGGTGAATGTGAGGTGTAAAATGAACGACTCGGATGAATGCGGTTGAACGGAAGAGGATAAGCCTCTTTATAAGTGACCTCGAAGCTATAAAACCCGATATACCAATTGCTGATAGAGACAATTAACTTGCAATTAACGCATAAGAGCTCGTCAAGGGCTCGTCATGAGCTAGCATTTAATTTGCTTACTGAGATAACGGCGTCCCAATATATCCGACTAGCAGTTTCGAGGTTTACCTCCGAGTCATTTACAATCTGAGTCATATATGAGAATGCGTTCTCGTCACTTACAACAGTAATAACCTTCCTTCTGTTAAATATTCTTACCAAATTGAACTTCCTAGACAACTTCTCCGCACCTGTCCAAACCCCGAATAACACCTTGTGGGTGTGCCAAACCCAAGCTCCCCAAGGATGAATTTCTTGAAACCTTAGCATAGAATCAATCACATCAATGGGTTTCAAATGGTGTGTGTTTTTCTGGATCTATGCCATAGGAAGCATCGCTAATCGTCGATTTCACCATCAGGTCGTGCTCGGGACGTGTACATGTTGGATACTAGCAAGGAGGGCGACCTTTGACCAGGATGAAGGGACTCGGGAATTCGCACTGTATATTATTCGGTCAGACATGTAACATAGATAAACAGAAGATACCAGTTTTACACTGTTTTGGTCAGTTTTATATTTGGTTTCATTTGCCACGAAATAGCAGGAAACGAAAAAACGCGCGCAAACTAATGAAAACTGATATTAACGTATCGGAAACTGGTAGTAACATGCAGAAACAGTATCAAATACGTTTTATTGGTTTTGGCGTGTTCCTACCAGTTAAAAGGTAAGATAACTGGCCAAAACAGACTGACTTCCCACTGGGGGTTAAGAGACGCAACAAGTCTCAATGGGACAGTTGGATATAGCACTTATGAACCACAGGGATTGCCTAAGTAATAAGTATGGAGCCATCGTAGTGGGTAGAGTCTAGAGAGTCAGGGATGACAAACATGCACACAGAGCATTGTTATTACTGGATCTAGATTTACTGATTAATCTGAAGGCTACAAGTTTGATATTTGACCCGTGGTGGGTCATATGTGCCATGTGTCGTCAAGTTTTTGATGACAATATTTTCTTGAGAGTCATGCATTCGTGTATCACACTTGCCAGTCAGCAATTTTTTCCCCTTTGCTGACGCACTGAGTTATAAAATATACTACTTTGTGTATTTCATGTTTCCTTTATTCAACGGTGATTAAATAGCTCACTCTCAATTTATATTTCACTCTTTTTTCTACCACTCGGATTTATGGCACAAGTTTTACAAATTCTTATTTCTCCCAACCTTTGGTTATAGGAATTATATACCAAATATGTTCAAAATTCTGATGAGTCCAAACCTACAATTCCTACCAGGACTAACATTGCCAATTCAGAGCTGCAGTAGAGTTAAGATCATATTGAATCACAATGCAATCCAATTTACATACCGTTAGACCCCAGCAGCCTTCCTCAGTGCAGCAGCTACATCCTTTAGTGTTGGAGGGTTTGCACCTTTAGCAGCTACAATTGCTTCCACATTTGCACCAACAATCTTGGCCTTGAATTCACCATTGCTTGCTTTCATAGTCTCCATGTGAAAAGTGCCTTTGACACTGGACTTGGTATCTCCATGCACCCGCAGCCAGGTCTTTTCCGGGCTCCACCCCCCACCAGAAAGATTATCATAATTCATATTATCAAAGTAAGTTTTGAGCTGAGACTATTGGAGATGTCCTCAGAATGATATCAAGTATAGTATGCAGTCTCACCTTTGACATCTGGTGGTGTTTATCAGCAGTGGTACGTTGAAAAGCTTTAGAGACTCTAGAGAAGAAGGAACCATACTGGAAGCCTTTATGTAGTCTACTGATTATCATTCACAATGCAAGATGTTGCCGTTGATTGATTGAGTCATGGAGTCTACAAATATATCAGCTGGTCTACTTGGCCAATATGAAAGACTCAGTGCAAAGATTGAGTTGGTGCCAGTTTTACTATGTCACATAATTCAAACTGATATAGCCTGTGGCACGGGACTGAAGTCTAAGCGACATGGGTAACCCCTGAGTGGCTTTTTCACAAGATCATCAATTATAGCAATAGGGGTCTCATGGGTCACCTATATTCCAGCATGTACTCCAAACTACCCTTAACAAGGATTAAACCAAAGAACTAAGGTGACAGAATGCAAAATTGGAGATAGGTCATATTGCGTGGTACCAGAAAAGGCAGTCAGACATCACAGGCCAAAGTACATTAATATGTCCTTACTACTTTGCTACATAATGGTAATATTGAGTGAGTTACAATCAAAGAGCTACTGTGGCATGGGACTGAAGTCTAAGAAACGGCATGGGTAACCCCTGATATGCAGGTTTTTTCACAAGATCGTCAATTATAGTGATAGGTTTTATGGGTTACCTATCCTTTACCATGTACCGCAATGTGCATGGTACCAAAAAGCACAGCCAGATACCACAGGCCACAGTATGTTAATATTACCTGACTACTTAGCTAAATAACGAGCGAGTTACTGTCAAAGAGCTACCTC